TGCTGTTCTTTCATTAGATAATGATGATATTGATTTTTGTCTTTTATCCATTGCTGATTGATATTCTGGTGGAAGAGAAATTAAAGCATCCTATAGAAATAGATTTTATTTCAATGTAATTAGGAAATTTATCTTCTCTTTATCGTTTGTTGATCTTCTAATCGAATTGAACTAATTAGATAGAAATCATCAGGTAGAAGAATTGACCATGGTTGTTCATCAACATAGCCAGCTGGATGAGTAACTAATGGCTTATTCCATAAATTAAGTTCTTTACAAATACCAACACGTTCCATTTGTTCGGCTAAGTCAACATGTGAGATATGATATGGTGCGAAAAGTAAACTAGCACAATTTAATTGTATTACTGGTCGTGTTAATATATGAATATGAAATGATAATGAACGGAATTGACTAAAATATTTATTTAATTAGAAAATAAAGCAAAAAACAATGAAACTGAACCTGATGAGTAATCGATGACAAACAGCAGATATTGATACATTTTCACAATCTGTCACTTTTAATGTTGTTTCAACAGCGCCAAGAACAATTGTTACATAATGACATTTACGAACGTCAACGCATCTATATATATATAGAAATAAAAACTATTAATGCAATCTTATGGTATGAAAACAGAAAACATGATCAAGTGACTGCAGTGAATTTCAGTTTTGTGAAAATGTTTATTACAGTATATGATGAATAAAGCATTGCTAAGATGTTTATCACAATCAGCGATGAGCGGTATGAATCGATAGCTGTTTCTTCGAAAATTGCCAAATAGTAAGGTCGATGAGCAAGTTAAAAAATCTGTTGGCGAAATTCTTGTAGGATTAAAATATGAAATCCGATGGAGTAGCATATATTATAAGTGAGGAATATACTAACATATATTTCAGTTGTCAATCGCTACCTATTATTATCCTATACCAATTATGAAAGGCATTAATCGTACTATATGTCACAAGGCAAAGGATAGATATCTTAAATTCAGTTGTATTTTACGCCAATTCTGTAGTAGATTTCAGTTTACTGGATATGTATGTCATCTTCCATCAGAAAGGAGCACTAACACTGAGATGTGAGTTACGGTCTGTAATTGAGCAGAAGGTTTTGCTAAGATTTATCATGATCTTTTGAGGCACATTAGTCACGATTTGTGAGAAGGAAGAGTTAACATTGCTATCCTTATACTTCAACATTCCTAGATCGTGTTCTCAAAACCTTTAGAAAAGATCGTTTTTTTTTGATGCCGTAACGTTAGACTGGTGTGAAATTGCTGTCAGATAAACGATGACGGATCATCACCGTTGCATGCCTATTAAAGTCACTGTTATGTCCGTCGGAGACGAGTAGTTCAAGTTTTTACCATAATACTTCTATAAGATCATGTTTCACAAAAAAAAAAAAAAAATAATAAAGCTGAATATGAATAGATTACCGTAATAGAGCCAATATGTAGATATATGAATAACTGCAACAATGTGTACGAAATTCTGCATTAGCAATTTCAGGCGATTGCTAAAAAAGTAAATCAAAGTAGTTAACATCTGATTTAAAAATATTCGATTGAAAATTGAATAAATCGAGAATACAAACATCTAGCGATCTGCTACTTGCAGTAGCCGAGAGAGAGAGAGAGAGAGAGAGAGAAGACATGGGGATATCTTGTTTCTAATATTATATAATAACCTATCATCTCTAAAAAATGCATGAAAATGAACTATTGTTACGATGAACTTTTGATTTTAGTTTTGTTACAAAAACAAATCATTGTATCATGTATATTTATAATGTTTTATGAAGATGAATATATTTCATATAATTTGATTTAATATAATATTAAAACGAAAGACGACCTCATGTGATCTCTTTCAATTGATAAAAGCGTAGATCGCTAACTGCTTATATTCCCAATCTATTCAATTTAAAAAGAAAAAAAAATCTTTAAAGCTGACGTTAACATTAGTTTAATTTTTATGAAAGCGTAAAATTTTCCTTTTGCAATTAAATCTTTTATCTGATCGGTTAATAATCGATTAATCATTATCATTAATATAAATTGATGTCTAGAAAAAAAAATATTCTTAATTTAATAAATAGAAAAAAAAAAATTTTTTACATTTCATCAGCAAAATTTGAATTACATAGAACTCGACCAGATCTTTGTTCATCTGTTGGATCTAAATGAATTTTATATTCATCAAATTACAAATAAGGAAAAGAAACAAACTATTAAATGGAAGTGATAACAATATTCCACATTTCATTGTTTGTCCAATTTGAAATGGATTAGTAATAAATGAACGACGAATTAAATTTGATAAATTTTTAAATGGAACAATTGATTTATTCTAATAAATATAAACATTAATCTTCATCATTTTTAGAATAGAATTTATTTCTTTAGTATGCCTATTTCATGTCGAATTGATGAATTTTGTATAATAACGTGTAATGAAACAATTTTTCGGAGATTATTATGAAGTATTGTTCCTTCGAATATATAGCTAAGAGCTGTTACTACATCCATACTTAATGTTGCTGATTGAACACTTTCATTATTATTTGATTCTTAAAAATAGATAAAAACTTGTTAGTGCAATTCTTAGAGCCGCTATCAATAGATGGATCAGTTGTTCGACGCGTATTTTCAAGATACGCGTGTTTGTTTGAGCCTGAGCATCACCTTCAATAAATCACTAACGACTCTTTATCTCGAATCATCTATGCAATAGCATGGTAACTAACTTGTGAAATACACTGGCTCTTATGATTAATATGTAGAGAATCTAAATCAGGTCGACTTTCTACCCAGAACTACTAGTAATAGTTATAGAGAAAGTATTGGACTTTCGAAATTGCCTGTATATATTTCGATAGACTAACAAACAGTAATATTGGTTATGTCTTGAATGACAGAACTTGGTTAATTCATATTTGTTGTGTCAATCATATTTACAGTTCTACGGTACAATCTTCAATGTTTTTCAAACGAAATATTTTGAAAACATAGGACAAGATACTATATAAAAAAATCAATGCCTTGAGTTTGATTAATTTCAATACGTGAATATGTCGTACATCCTAATTTATTATTTCTAAGAAATATCTTAATTTTTGAATACATACCAGACAAAGAAAATTTTTTTTTAAATGTTCACTATTTCGATCAACGGAACATGAAAAAAGTTTGTTCCACAAGTTTTGAATCATAAAATGAATGCGGCAAATTAATAAATCACTATCAATCAGTCTGATCGTTTATCTCTATGAAAATCAGCGATTCTACTATGTACAATATTCAAAAATATATTCCGACAATTTCAATCGAAGGAAAGATTGACGAAGGTTCTAGGATAGTTTAAATCTTCTAATTGATGTTTTTTACATTACAAAGAACCATCGGAACCTAGTCTAATATCCTCCGTTGGTATGACGAGTAGGTGGTATATATTCTTCATAATAGATCGAAAACTTCGAATAAATTCATACAGAAAAGGCTTGTTCACTCACCTTTTCAAACGCTATAAAGTCCATACCTTTATTTCTTTTAAACTCTATATTATTGTTAGAAATTTGTTAAAGAATGTACAGAAGTAGAATTTTGTTAAACAATAAAATCTAACGCAATTATTTCATAGCGCTTGAAAAGACGAATGAAATAAGCCTATTAGAGATAAACGTTTATTCCAAAAAGACGTCAAGCACAACACATGAAGAAATTTCGTTATGAATGATCTTTGACTTAGCGAGAAGAGAACTACAATATCTTGACTTAAAACTTTCATTGATTATCTTTTTAGAAAATATATTTAACTTTGACAAAATTGATATACCTAAAGTTTCAGAAACAATGTTTAACAGATCATCTAAATGTGATTGAATAAATAATTGATGACTTTATTCATCATAAATCTAAAATGACATTTGACTTATTTATTTTTTGAATAAAATTAATTAAAAACATACTCGATTCTTTCGAGCATCTATATTCGAATTTCGTTTACGATTTGGTCATCTAAATATTTTATTACCAAAAAAAAAAAAAAAACTCAATTTTTCATTCAATGAAATTAAATAAACATACTCATCTCGTAAAAGTGTTGATTTCAGATCAATTTGATAGAATTATTGAAGAAATAAAAGAAGAATAAAAGCAAGCCTATCAACTTTTCGAGAGTCTTTCAGTCGTTCTACAAATAAAATATTCAAATAACAAAAATAACAAATTGTAACTAACCTATCTCAGCAGTATCATTTCCTTTAGACATTTATATATCCGTTTGTATTCGTCGTTGACTTGAAACATTAGTTAACAGATTTACCACGATGTGACCCATCTGTAGGTCACGGTATATTTTATAAGGAAAATAACAAAAACAGTTTGTTTTTCTTCTTTTTTTTCCTATGTAGTGGATGCCATATATTCCCTCATCCACCTCATCTTGTTCAATATTCGAATCCTTGATTACATTGAGTAATGCTTTTCATTGAAACAATCAAGACAAAAATATTTATCACAATCAGAACAGAAAGTTTTTACTCTCTTCGCTGCTGTTGCACTTGCTTCTCTTGATTGTTAATACAAGTGATTCACACTGGAACATAATTCATCGCGAAATTTCATTTGTTTTTATAATCTCGAGAGAGAGAGAAGAGTCAAAAATAACGCTGCAAAAAGTATACAAAAGAAACACAATCGATATTGCATTTCGTTTACCTCGTTCCTACTGTGCAGTATATAAGAGAGAGAGAAAAAAACAAATTTGAATAGTTATTCGGTTTGGAGTGAAAAAGGATTGACTATCTAATATTGTAAAAAAAAAATGCAAAAGAACTGGCAGCATATACTAAAAAGACCAACAAGTACGTTTATCAAGAGGTGAATGTACACGAAAATGCATCTATAAAAGGTATTTTCTAAGAAAATCGAATCGCAGTGAATGTGTTAACATACTATATGTTTCAAAATATCTATAAAATTCATCATAAAATCTTCATAGTTGTCCCATAATTCAACACTTATATCCATGCTAATTCTTCAGACATATATCATTTCGAACAAGCAATATGTCGCCAAAGCATATAACTAATAAATATTGTCAATTAATTATTACTATTGAAACGAGTATCGGGACTTTTTATTTTTATAGTGCAATATATCTGGACATCATCAACTAATTTTGTCGAGAAAAATGACATAAAATGAAGAAAAATAATCCGAAAATACTATAGTTGATACATTCACAAGACCTACAAAAATTTGCTAGTATTACACTAGAAAAATCTTTTGTGAAACATATTCTAAAAGAACTGTTGAAGTATATAGAAGCAGCATCTGTTACTCTAATCAAAGATACTTTAACAATTGAAGCTCGCTTCTCATGGAAGATAACATATACATTCGAGAAGACTGACTGCTTAGGAAACTGAATAGAGTTTCAAGTAGAATTTTTTCGAATACATCTATGGAAAATTCTTTATAAGTTTTATCAATGAACCATAATACTTTTTAGTTATTTTGTAGAGTTCACAATTATAGCAAGTAAGATGAAAGATCAATGAGTACGCTTTCATCATTAACAGAAAACCATTTCATGTGCCCCTCCTCTAGCAACAGCACTTAGATCATCTTGGTACTTTTCAGAATGTTCGAAAGTATTCTATAAATCTTACATTTCTACGTAGATTTTAATTAATCTGATCTTTCGAATGTTACAATATATTACTATGACACGCATCGCGATCCTTTTGTTCTCTGTTTGTTTTCAATGATTACTACATTGTTCGTTTGATGTCTTCTATATTATCATTTCATTTCGATTACTGAGAAGAAAATAGGCATGCATCGAACATATAAGATTCATAGTTCTCTACGAGCACGATCGGTAACAATGGGTTCAGTATTTAATATGGCAAAATGGTCTTGTTCTAGATGTTAGTTAATACAGCGATTGTATTATTGACGTATCAGAGTTTGACTATGAGCTGATCAAATTCTAACTTTCGTTTCTGAGTTTATCAAGATATACGACAGCGTATTAATGTCTATTGGTACAACAGGATTATTTGTCAATTAACTCAACGAGCTAGAAAACTAAAAAAAAAACATATCAGTTCTTAGTATAGAACACAAATAAGATAGATCATTTGTCTGATGAATGATCATTCTTAAAATGTGACTATTATCACTTAGAAATTCTTCACTTCATATATATTCTATGTGAATTCCAGATTTAATTCTTAAAGAAACTGTACTGATATTTTTCTTGATTATTTTCGACAAAATTAGTTCGTAATGCACTATATAAAGATTCCAAGATTTGTCCTACAACAAAAAGTTTGTCTATTTCAAAATTCACTTACTTCATTTTCGGATAATCTGCAGTACCACTTTTTTTATTCATATATTTAACAATCGATTTTAAACTCTAGGATAAGAATAGAAATGAATCGCAATAATTTAATTTTTTCAAAAAACAATTTATAGCAGGTGTTATATCTGATGGTGTTGTTAATACACCAAGTGTAAATATTTCTGCTCGACACCATATAGCTAAATGATGTCGATTATCACTTGTATGCTGATGTTCAGTCATCTGAAATTGAAAAAAAAATTCTATAAACATAATTAAACACGTTCTCCATCTATAATACATTGTGCAGTAAATAAACCGGGATAAAGAATAATCTGTATCTCGTCCATTATTATCAACCCAAACAAGACCTTCTTTAATCATAAAATTAATCGCAGTTTGTATTCGATCATCTGACCATTTAAATTGATCACGTAATTGTTTAACTGTAAAACTTGAACGTGTTTGAAGTAAATTTAATATAGCTGTATGATTCATGATTAATTCATCTGGTATACATTGTATAAGTACACATCCTTGATCATTGACTAGTTCAAGCAAAGCAAAACTATCACCAAGTGCACGTCATTTTTTAATGGCACATAAAATATCATCAGCTGAAACATCTTATGCTGATCAAGATTTTTCCACGTGCTTTTCATACACGTAATAAAAGTTCATCAAATGAAATAAAACTACCATTTTGTACACTTGTTGCAACATAAACTTCGACTATTTGAACAGCTAATTCATAATAAAAATCACCAAGACCAAGAACTTGTGACTAAAAACTTTTACTAGCTAAATGAAGATCAAGAACATAAGATATTTTCGAAAAAAAATATTATTATTTTTTTTTTCCATACAAGCAAGCGGATCAACATCAACTGTTGCAGACATATCTTGAAATTGTCGTCGAAATGTAACATCTTTTTTTATTTCATTCTTATGTTTTTCAGCAAATTTTTCCAAATTATCACGAAAAATTTCAAATTGTTTAACAAGCTAAATATAAAAATTGAATGTTTACAGATTGGTCAACAAGAAAATACATTCAACTGTCAGATGCCATATTTTAACTATTAGTAGGTCTCATTAAAAATAAGAAAACCCTAGAAAGATCTATACCTATAACTAGAATTCATATAGATACATTTTTAACTATACCAAAAGAGAGCTATAAGCTCGTCACTCAGTTACTTGTCCTAAACCTAATTCCTTCATACACTTCCTAATCACATCCCAGTTTGTATGCTATCGTACAAGTGAGACAAGGCAACTTGTCTAAGGTCATTCTATGACTTATGGTGCTGAGACTCGAACAACTTAATCCCTCAGCCATAATTCTTTTATTGTTTTTTATCTCTATCTTAAGCAAACACTTTGAACTGAAAAGCGATTGTTCAGTTGAAACAGTTTCCTTATTATTCCAAATATGATTAACAATGTTCTTTCATTAGAAAATTTTTCAAATAAATATACCTTTTCTAGATGTTCTCGTGCAAGTTCTGAACCTTTTTCACTAAATTTCTCCTAAAAATAATCAAAAATAAAAAAAATATCTCATGAAAATTTTCCTACTTTTTCCAATAATTGTTTATTAATTCCACCAAAACCAACACCTCGTCGCATTATATTCTACAATAGAAATAACATAGACATTATCCCTCACGTTAAAGTTTATTATTACAAACATAGACGAACAATAACAGTATTTTGCTTTTTATTTTGTTTTCTAAATCATGCATACACATACAAACAAATAAGTACATAGACAAAAATTTGATTAGTTTTTAAAAGAAAACAAACAGCTTTAACCTAAACATAAAAGATCGATAAAGCATTGTTGAGTTTTTTTTTTACATATACATATAAACAAAAGAATATTTTAATGATCAAAATAATAAATCTGATTTTTGTGATGATAATTGAAGATGACGTTCATGTTCAAGAAATCGTCTAAATAATAATTATAAGATTTATTAAATAAATATCAATAATAGGATCTATACCGTCACATATGAGAAATCAATTGTTGTTTTCGATTTCCTAATGGTAATTGTGGATCTAATGGCTATGTAAAATATTCAAAATTTTGAAAAACATCGAGAAAAAACCTCGAAATAATAATACTAATATCTAGAATATCATTTTTTCTCTAAACGTTCTTTATAAATTGTTGACTCTCCTCATCATCTAACATATTTCTTTTTTTTTTTTATTGATAATGAAAGTCCTTATATAGAAAATCCACAATCGAGAACTATTATTGATCATACTCTTACAAGTGTAAATTATAAAAAAAAAAAAAAAAAAAAAAAAACGAATGTTTATATTGATATTTGTTTTTGTTAAGGATGAATGAGATATGATTTTAATTTAATCTGAGAATATCCTCTATAAGGGAAGAGTTGTACGAACACATAATAAGTATAGTTTAATTGTTTTTTCTTTTTTTTTGTTATAAATGAAAATAAAATAAAAAATAATTTTCAAGTGTTATGTAGAGAGATCGAAGAAATTTAAAATTTGATTATCTAGAACGATTAATATATAAATTGTAAATATTAATCGATTGAGCTTTTTGTTCCTAATGATTAAAATATTTAATTAAACGATGGCATCTTCTCTATTAAAATTGGTCAGGAACAATTCGAATAACAGATGAATATATTTTTTATATTTAATATATTAAAATCATTGTAAATATAAGAATTTCTTTTATCTCTTTGTCAATATGATCATAAATTAGCATTTCTTACTTGATAAAAGTCTTCATCAAGATAGTAAGAAGTTTTTTAAAAGTGTCTGAAGATATAATTAAAATCGAACGTTTTTCAAGATCAATTTCACGAAGAGAGAGAGAGAGAGAGAAAGCAACAAGTCTTCGATCAATTCGAAGCATCTGCTAATGTTCAATCTCGTGCAGAAATGTTCAGTTAGACATCAAGTTTTCCATAGTGTAACTCCCTTCTTGGCACCCACATCATTGCGATGTGTGCGAGAGATCCAGTGGGCATTGTGTACAGCGTGCCAACATTAAATTAAAATCGAACGTTTCTTGAAATAAATTTCGTCTGCTTTTTGAGTATCCACTATATACCTAATAGATGAATCGAAACAGTCATTAAAATGATCATTATCTGCCTCTAAACGATCATGAGAATGAATCCTTTTCGACCGTTTCCCAACATCGGTAAGGTATCCGTTACATAAAGATCAGTATAGACTCGTTTAGGGTATATCACGTTCGGATAGTTCCCATTGTTAGAATAACATACCAAAAGTAGTAGCACTATTATAGAGTAAAGGAGGGATCGAGGATATATTCTATAGAAATATTCGAAGTGGTTGAGATAATTGGTCTATGATTCCATATTATATTTGACTATTCGTTCAGTCGGTATGATCAGACGAGAATTTTAAACAAAGATGACAAATTCTCTTTAAGATTAATAAAGAGAAAAAATGTTTTGCTTCGAAAATAAAGCTCATACTAGACTCTGTATACAAATGAGAGTTATTCATTATTATTGTTAATATCACCTATTCCAATATCCAATAACCGATTATCTTTTTAATCTTTCGATAAATGAAGATAATGCATTTGGTGGCACGACATTAATCAACTATAAACAATACTTGAAATAGAAACGATGACCACATCGAAGATCTTCGATAAGAGTAGAAGATTTTTTAGTTAGATATTTTAAGATTAGATATCAACAAATGATTATGTAACTTATTGAGAGATTTAACTAGTTTTATAGATCTATTTGTTGGTTGTCGTGCAATAGAAGATCATATTCCTTCTATAGGACATCCAGTTGAACCTTGTGTTATAGGCTGATGGTCGTGCTTGTCATAGATTTTTATTAGCATCAACTGGTCAATGTCGTTTTGTTTTAATTGAAATTGATGTTGGTGATAGTAAAAATGGTATTCAAAAAAACATGTGTAATAAAATATTGTTGAATTAAATGAAATATCGAAATATATTCAAAGAATTGAATTTATTTTTGAAATTAAATCTGACAAACCATTAGAAAATCTTATTCAATCTCCAGATAATTATCTATATAATCATCGAAATAATCTTATTTTATTAAATGTTTGTTGAATATCTTATTGATAAAATAGTTCAATATTCATAATTGAATAGGACGTCAAAATGGTTCTATACTTGAATATGATCATAGTCAACCCAAAACATGAACATTCAGGTGCAATAGTTAAAAGTAAAAAACGTTCTCAAACAAATTCGAGATCTTCATCAATATAATAAAGAATTGAAATGTCCTGATCAATTAGTCTTAGACATAGAATTACTTGATTTGGATAATAATATAGAACATTATTGGAAAACAATTCGAAAAAACAAGAAAATTGATCTATTTTTCTTTAAATATCGTTTTGATTAGAGTTATTATTTGTCATAATCATTTTATAAGAATATTTTTTGTTAAAAAAACTCAGAGACATCTACAAGACCGAAAAGAAAGAGGCGGACGAACAAATGGTTGCCTGACGGCCGCAACTAACGATCACTGAAGAATTTTTGTTTTTCTCATCGTTTCGATGCTATAATAGGTCTTGCAAAAGCTAATAAAACAAACGATATCTGATAAAGAATGAGTTTCTCGACGACTAGATTCCTTATCTTTACTTTTCACCATTTCATCTACATTTCTTTGGTAAAACATCATCTAAAATTAGTGTTGAACTATAGAAGGAAATATTTCATCTCTCCCTACTAGACTCTTTAGAATCGAAAATTTTCAGATTCGGAACCAACCCGATAGTCACTACCCGCACAGACATGACCATGGCAGATGGTTTACCAATATATCCTGCCTACCGTTCATTCCCGCATCATAGAGCGTATATCAATAGCATCTCGTTATAATAACTATATAAATTATTTCTCGTTTTTGCATTTCTCGAAGATTAAGGGAAAATGAATGGCGAAGAAATCTATTCCCAACATCGATAGAATAGAACAATGTCTCTCGTGATTATCAAGAGAAACTACATCGTCTTGAAGATTCTAATCATACAGAAATTGCGCGACACAGCTTTTTGAAAAATTCCTACGAATAGAGTCAAACAGCTAGTATGATTGAGATGCGACCGTCTCTCGAAGGTAAATGGGTATATCGAAAATAAACCTACCCTATTTAGAACAATTGTCATTATTC